ACACACACCCACAGACTTTCTGGATGCCAGCCACTCTTAACCAAATCCCAGTTTGTTCTTAGTTCTTCAAGGGGCTCCTCTCAATCCTACCAAGTCCCTCACCCTGATCAGTGCCTCAGTTTCCCTGTGGGAAATGAGAATAAAGGTCTGGTATTTCCCTTCTTCCTTCCTAAGGAGTAAACCTATTGAAGTCATATCTGAGGCTTTGGGAACTATAGGAGGAAGGTCAGAATGGGCTGCTCAGTTAGACAGGGAGAAGGCTCTGTCCTTCACCTCAGTCTAAGTAGATGGGCACACTGGGAAGCTCCAAACCAGTGTGTGGATGCCTGTGGACACTCACTATAGCCACTTCTGAAGCTGAGGACAAATGGGAATGTTGGAAGAGTGACTCTTCTCCACAATAAACAACAACCAAAAGGAAGCTCGATGGACCATCAGCTGAAAAGCAGCCAGCTGCAGCTGAACTGAGCTAGATTGAACCATGGGGCCTGCCCTCTTTATTCTGCCACTGCTCCAGGTCCCGTTTCTAAGTCCTAGTTCTAAATAAAAAGGCCCCAGGCGTCTTTATCAGATGCAAAGTACAGAAATCTCTATTTGGGATTTCTCTAAAAAATGTTTCACACATGTGTGCTACATAAATACACACCTCTAACTAATCTGTCATCAAGGGAAATGAACGATCCTGAAGGCATCTCACCACCTCAGCCACAGAAGCAACTGACCCTCTGGTGTTTGGAATGTTCTGTGACAAGTTCTCCTCAAGCCCAGCCCACCCTCAGCCCACCGCTTCCTGGAAGCCACCTCCACTGGAAGCTTTCAGAAGAATTCAATAAAAGTTTCCTCCGCCCCGCCCTACCTCAGTCTGAATGGTGAGGTGGCTCCCATGAGCTGCTTTCTCACCTCAACCGGTTTTTTTTTGTGCCTCCAAAACACACTAAACTTGGGTATAGGCTGATGTCTATTCTCTCCTGGCAAGGCTCTGAAACCTTCTCTGGTCACGTGCACCCTGAGTAGCTCTGTCAGCAGCACGGGAAGAGTCCTCTAGAGGCCCCAGCCAAGTGTTAACAAGGAGTGTGTGAGCAGCAGGTGATCGCATTCAACAGCCATTTACTGAACTCCCCTATCCACTCTATGGTGTGCTAATGTTACCCAGCTGGGCCTGGGGGTGGGCTGCAAATTGTAAAGGACAGTCCTTACAAAGAGAAAGCAATGTCACCTCACCTGGCACCACATCCCATTTACAAACCTTTCTCAAACACTGCCATTCTGTCCCCACTGCCAGAAGAAAGGCTGACATTGCTACAGGCCAGCCAATGGCAGCATTCCCATTTTCACACCCAGAAATAAGCATGGAGATATCCATGACTTGCCAAAGGTCTCCAGCAGAGTGTCAGAGAAGAGACCCTAACTGTAGAGTCTAGGAATGTAAGACACCACCACCACCACCCAGACACAAACACAGACATCTGTGGACTGTAATTCAAACAGTAGGTTGGGGGGGGTGGGGGTGCCAGGAAGACACAAACCATGACCACATATTTGATGTATCTAAAGAATCACAGTGGATAGGAGCCAGCCACTCTGGAGTCTTGGACAGAGAGAAGGTAAACACCCAGAAATAGATTTCAGGACAGCTGGGGAACTGGACCATCCTCTTATCGTATTGTTCCACCTCAGACTCTAAGGGCCACATTATCATTCTCCAATCAATCAGATTCTCAACATGTGAGGCCATATTATTTTGGTCTCAAATGGCACCTACCTTCTGGAGGAAAGTGACATTAGCGTTTCTACTGCTACAACCAAGAGTTCTGCCAAGTGGACTCCACAGGAAGTCTTCCGGGCTGGCTCCTGCATGTCCCCTCCCTCAGCAGTCTCCAGAGCCCAGACCGCTTACTCCATGCTCACAGGACCCCTGTGTTGGAAGTGAGTCTGAACATGCATTTCCATGAAAAGCAAAGCACATGTGTCTGCCTCTCCCTCTCCAGGCCTCCAAGGCTTCAGTTAGGCTACACAAATTCTGTTTGCATGAGTAAGATTGTGTCTCTTGAAGGGAAGCATAGACTCAGGAACCCAGAAAAAGGCAAGCCAACGGGGCAGTGAGGACAGTAGCAGGAGGTTGGTTCTGGTTGTGTAGCAGCCTCCAGGCCTGGACAGTAAGAGTCTGACCATCTTCTACCCAGTATTCCTCTGGTACTATGACTTCCTCCTGGGCCTTTCCCTACTGTCTTCTACAGCATGGCCTTCTAGTTCCCCAGTCTGCGGCTTCTCTCCACCTCAGCTTGAGTGTCAACTTTGATAGGACTTAAAATCGTCTAAGAGATAAAGCTCTGGGCGTTTCCTTGAAGGTGTTTCCAGAGAGGTTTAAGTGATAAGGACAGTACCATCCCATTGGCTGGAGTTCCGCACTGAATAAAAAAGAGAAGGTGTAGGCCAGCAAGCTGTCTCAGCAGGTAAAGCTGCTTCCCATCAAGCCTGACTGCCTGAGTTCAATGCCAATGGCCACATGATAGGAGAGAACCGAGTCCCACAAGATGTGCTCTGACCTTCACGTGTGAACATAAAGAAAGAAATGTAAAAATAGTGGAAATATTTATTTTCTGTTGTGTGTATGAATGCTTTGCCTGGATATAGGTATTGTATTACATGTGTGCCTGGTGCCCATGGAGGTCGGAAGAGGGTGTCAGATACCCTAGAACTGGACTTATGGGTGGTTGTGAGCCACATATAAGTCCTGGGAGCCAAATACCAGTGCTCTAAAAGAGCAACAAGGGATTATAACTGCTGAGCCATCTCTCCAACTCCCTGTGGTGATTTGTTTTTAACAGAAAGAGAAAAGTAATCTGAGCATCTCTCCTCTCTGGCTGCACACACCACGTGACCCACTGCCTCATGCTCTTTCCACCAGGCTTCCCCACCACGATGTACCCTTACGAGTCAAAACAAACTGTCCTTCTTTAAATTACTTTTGTCTGGTATTTTATCCCAGCCGTGAAGAAATTAGCTAGCACTCTCATCCATCACTATCCCCTTCTTCCTGTGTTTTCCAGTTCCAAACCATTAGAGGGGACATGAAGCTGGCCAGGCTCATCTTTTCCCACAAGCCATGCCTTGGGCAAGCCTACAGTTTACTTAAGACACCCTCCCAATCAGGGAATGGCCTTGTAGGAAAATAAAAGCCATGTGTTTGCCAGAGCCTGGAGCTATGAGGGAAGTTGGGTAGAACCACAATGCCACCCACTCCCTGTGTTCAGGTGTGCCTTTCCTTCCCTCCATTGATGGCCCAATGCCATGGCCTTCCTACTTCACACCTGGAATTCCAGGTAGCCTGTTAATATGCTTCCAATACTCAGCCAGAATCTAAACTTTATTCTTGCTCTGATATTCTCTCTCTCTCTCTCTCTCTCTCTCTGTCTCTGTCTCTGTCTCTGT